CTGGTTGTCAGTATCTTAGTTAACCTAAATAACAAAACCAAACCCATAAAAGGTCATCCAAAACAGGTGCAGATAAAAAGTTGTTTTAGGGATGACTTACTTCTGGTACTTTATATTTAGAAACCCTTTTTCGTTTCTGTCTCCAAAGTATATTTTAGATCTATATGAACATTTAGTTCACTTTTATTCACTTGACTAATTTATAAAGTACCCAGTATGTGACAGACATGATCTTAGATAGTGGGGATGGACAGATGAACAAGGTAAACCCCTCCCCCACCTTATGGAACGTACAGTCCAACAGCTCACATGCTTATATCTGGAAGGGAAGGCATCTTACAAATGGGAGAACGGAGGTGAGGAAATTGGAGCAAGCTGCCCAAGATGGTAACTAGTAAATATCAAACTTGGAATTTTATCCAAAATCCTTTTATAATCTGTTTCTTGTTCCCAATAAGTTATTAAAGAATACTTTAAGTGCGTGGATCAAATCATATTTTCATCTTCATCTCATTTCATATGTCCTAAATGAGCACTCAGCGCTCACAGAACAAGGCTGCTGGTGATTTCCTGAAAATTTCAGTAATCTATGCAGCAACTCTGCTCAGCCTTCCTTTTTCCTTTTCTCCCTCCTCCTTGTCCCTGCAAATCATAACCATACTCCCCAACCTCACTCTAACCCCTTCCATGGTTCATTCTACATACAATTCATAGTGGTTCATGGTTCATTCTACAATTCACTCTTACAATTCTGGCTTCTGTCTGAGTCACCGTCTATATTTACCCAAGTATGGGCATCTATTGGCCATTGGAAATTCTGCTTCAAGACATCAAAAATTAAGAACTTAATTGAATTAAATCACAAACTTTTTTTCAAACTACCCTTTAGTAGTTCCCGTCTTTGTAAATTTTAGGTCTATCAGTCACCTTTCTTTAACCATACGTGCCAGCTAGCATGACCACCTCTTCTTGACATGCATTATGTCCAAGTTCTAGCCATTATAGAATGCCTGCTTATGTCCACCAGCACAGAACTTTTCTTACAGCAAACATCTCTTTAGTGAAGGGTGTCTGCATAAATAGAAATGCTATTCAATCTAAGACCCATCCCTTTCTTTAAGTTAGGGTGCTGACATTAGCCCTCAGCTCCCTCTTGGCTTTTCTGCTGACTCTGAAGCAGGTACGTTGTGTGTCTAAAGATACAGTATGATGAGGAAGCACCTACCTCCTACTCCTCCCCATCTCTATGAGAGAACTTGGATCAAGTTCATAGAGAGAGGGGATTTGTCAGGACTGTCTCCTTTTGAGTTCTAAAAAATGGGTACTCTGAGTTGACATTAAAGAGTGTCTTCTCTGTGAGGCTGTTATAAAAATTCCCCCATCTTTTCCTTTTCAGTTAAGAGAAGTCTAAAGAATAAGGTGGTACTTGATCTGATCCTAAGGGTTGTAGTTGATGGAGCATTGTTTGTCTTTCCTTTCTTTGCTCTGTTCCACTGGTGCTCATTAAGTATATGCTTTTTTGGATGAGTTGATTCTGCAAAAGAATCATGTCTCTTGAAGGTTTCAGAATATAAATCAGAGAAGTGAGAGGCAAGCAGGACCTTTCCTCTGTTTGGTCTTTTCATGTTGACCAAAATTCCCACTATGAAGTACAAGCCTTCCTTTGAATTAAGGCATTGATTTGTGAAAGCTCCTATTAAATCACATATTTGAGGCAAGTGTTCAATCTGTTATTTTATTAGTCTATTGTTTCTTCTTCTAATTCTGTTAGCCAAGGGCTGAGCCCTTGGGCTTTGGGTCTCAGGATCCATGACATTTCTAAATGAACTAAAGTGTGGTAGTGTTTACCAAAGTGTGGAATCATACCATTAGTGGCATGAGAGATGATTTTAGGGAAGACTCAGATGAAACATTACATAATATTGAATTGCTCTGTGGAAGGTATTTCCTCTTTAAATCTCTCAAATTCTGGCTTATCTGTGTTTTTGGCAAAGTATGGAGAGTCAAGAGTGTCCAGCAAACATAGATAGTATCATTTTACTTAGATGCTATTTTCCTTGTTATGGTTACTAGCCATCCTTCCAAGTGATAACAATAATGCAACACTTCCTTTCAAAATATTTTCTTTCAAAGTAATATAGTGTGTCAATTTAAGAAAAAATATTACTTAAATCATACTACAAGATGCAGAGGGCTATGACATCAATTAGTAGTATGGGTGACATGAGAAAACTGATTCTTGGGAACCACTCAGGTAGGGAACTACCATTGAGAAATGCCTGATCTACGGGAGCAAGACACGGCACTCATACAGGGTAAGTGATGGCTTCCAGATGCAGAGCTGGAGGCTGTGTTGGAAGCCTAGTAGCCACGACCAGGGAAGAACCCCGATGTGGCTTATAATGTGGAGTGCATCCCCATTACCTGTTTTTTCCCAAATGGCAGTGTGGCAGGGCCCAGCTTTTCCCACACTGATGTTCTTTTTACCTGGCAAGGTCAGAAGTTCTTTTCAACGGGGAAGAGTGACTGCCATATTATACTGCAATGCAGTAGCTTGTTTGAAGTATATTTCTCGATCTCACTTGGTCATGGATTCCTTTTGTCACTGTGGCCTGATAAAAATGCTTTTCTGAAAAAACATCTGTAAAGCAAGAACTCTGACTTTGCAGCCATGCATGATCTTTTTTTGTGAGTTACAACTATTTATTCTGCTTTGCTCTCTAACCCCATTTTCCTTTGTTTTTATGACAGCCAAGCCAACGTGCACTCTGTTGGTTTATTTTCACATCTGTGCCCCTGAGTCTTCCAAGTAGGGCTGCAGTAGAGATACTCAGTTAACACAACCAGGATGCTAACTCCCTGCCTGAAATGTGTGGAGCACTTTGGCTGAGCTCGCATTGCATGTGAATGGACACGCGGGCACCCCCGGTCCAGCTTCTAAAGCGGAAATAGGATTCATTTCCCACGTGCAGCAGCTGAGTGATAACCCAACTGGAGAGAACCCATTTCAGTTCATCAGTGCCCTTCAAGGGCCACCAGGCAATTCTTTTCTGAGAAATCTGTTGATTATCAGGCTCTGACCCAGACCCTTGTGGAGAGAAAGTTCATTTTATGACTTTATGATTTTCTTCCCTTCTGCTTTCTTTCTAATGGCTCCGCTTTGCTATTTCATTTCCCAATCCTGAGCATCAGAGATTAAAGAGCCCCTTTTTATGGAGTACATGCTAAAGTGTTCTGTTAGGCAATATATTTATTACCTGGAGTGAAATGGCTTTTCACAGCCAGGCAGCTTTCGTAGCTCCCTTGCTAACTCTGTGTTTAAGAAAGTCACCCCTTGTGTTTTGCTGGACAATGGCTCTGTGTCAACCAGTAAAGAAAGAGAAATTGTGTGTGTGTGTGTGTGTGTGTGTGTGTGCGTATGTTAGGGGAGGGGATCTTTAATACAGCTAATGAGCACATTTCCGTTTTGCATTTTCTTCAGATGTTCAGTGGCTTCCATATGTCTGCTGCGTGCAGCTCCGTTCATCCAGTTTGGCATTAGTAACTTTGGAGTTGCCTTTGATGGAAGACATGTGTACCCACTGTATCTTTCACTCGTATTTATGCCTGAGCTCCTATCTGGAATTGCTTTGAGGGTGGGGGCGGGGAGGAAAGGAGAGAGAGAGAGAGAAAGAGAGCAAGAGTGAAAGAGAGAGAAGTGTGTGTGTGACCATCTCGAGGTACGACTCTGGGCATCAGATGACCACCTCCTAGAGATGCCCCCAGCTGGACTGGCTTCAGCTGGAGGAGTCTCTGTAAATGTGCTGTGTCTGTGTTTTCCTTGCCATCAATATCCCTGTCAGATACAGTCAAGTGGGTTTGGAGCTACCCCCATTCCGTTTTTCAGTGACAATTTATTTTATTTTTTTCCTCAAGTTAGGGTTTTGGCAGGTGTGTGTGTTCGTGTGTGGAGAAAAGCAGCAGGGAGACCAACACTACATCATTGTTCCTCCGGGGCCATTTTTTGATGTTTTCATGTAATTTCACATTTTGGGGACAGAAAACAATATACATTCAATTTAGGAATACCCATAATCTGGTTCTGCAGGGCACCTTCATTAGAGAAGATTGCAAATTTCATGACTGCTTCCTTTTCTCCCTACACATTGTCAGTACAGTTTAACAGCAGCTGGCTAGACCTGCGAGCGCCATGATGGAGGGGCAAGCCTTGGCCAGCCTGCTTCTATGCATCTCAGATGTGTTCCTTCTGCCTACCCCTGATAACACATCCAGTAGAGGACGGCTTTGGTGTCTTTCTCGGTGGAAAGAAGTTTTGCTACTCAGCAGGCAAAAGCAGTATTTCAACACTTGTAAAATCACTACAAAAAGCCATCTATGTCCAAAGAGGCCATCATTGCTTTCTTTGTGTTCTTCATTATTTGCCTGGTTGTGTTCAAACTGGAAACTTTCACTGGAATTAAACAGTACTTTAATTTATATTGAAAAGTATGTAAATTGTTTTCCTATGGCATTTCCCTCCAGTACCTTTGGAAGAGCTGTGAATCCTCTTGTTCGTATAAAATTAGAGACCAGTAAGATGACACTCAGGTAGGACGAGATGCAATTTCAATGAGCTTAAAAGGAAATCTTCCAAAAGCGTTCGTGGCTTGCAGAAAATCAAAAGCAAATAGCCTTTCTACAGCCTTTCATGAGGAATGGTTACAGGTCCTGTGGATGTAACACTGGAGGCCTGTGGACCTACCAGATTTTTACTTTGGAGATTATTTTTCTCAGAAAAACTATGTGATACTGGATGATCGCATAGTGATCAAACTAAATGATACTGGAGAGAACCATAAAAATGGTGTATGGTGTGCATTTGTTTGGGGGAAGTGCACGATGGGGATTGGGAGGAAGACAAAGCAATCCTTCGCACTTTTTCAAGGAAAAGGAAATTGACTGTTACCACTATTTTTTCCTCCTGAAGTAAACTTTTTTTTTTAATTTGTTTTTCCCAATAGCACCATCATCCATTGCTTTGGTACAAGCTAAAGAAGTTACCAGATACAGTGTTGCTCTGGCTTGGCTGGAACCAGATCGGCCCAATGGAGTCATTTTGGAATATGAAGTCAAGTACTATGAGAAGGTATTACTTGAATAAGCAAGGTTCCCCACTCCCTTCCTTTTGTCCCTGTTCTTTACTTTTTCCTTCTTCCTTCCCTCCCTTCTTCCCTCCTTCCCTTTCTCCTTTTTTTCTTTCATGTCTAGTTTTTGGCCAATTATAAATCCTGGAGTACCAGTGAATCTCAAAGCCAAATGCATTTTGTATCTTAATCAAATCCAATTATGAATTTTTTGTATTAAGTTGCTTATCTTCAAAAACAGGAAAAAATACATTGCATTCTAATAACAATATATTTTTAAAGATTTTATTTATTTATCTTTAGAGGCGAAGGGAAGGAGAGAGGAAGAGAAACATCAATGTATGGTTGCCTTTCGTGCATCCCCTGCTGGGAACTGGCCTGCAGGGAACCAGCCTGCAACCCAGGCATGTGCCCTGACTGGGAATCGAACCGCGGTTGTCTGGTTCGCAGGCCCGCGCTCAATCCACTGAGCTACGCCAGCCAGTGTGTTCTAATAACAATATTTTTCCTAGCAATAAAAATCAAGATAGCTAGTTCTAATTTATAAACCTTCTCTCAAAAGAGTGACTCATAGAAGTCAAAATAGCCCTGGCTGGTGTGACTCAACTCAAGTTGGTTGAAGCATTGTCTTGTAGACCAAAAGGTCATGAGTTCAATTCCTGGTCCCAGCATATAACCAGGTTGCAGGTTCAATACCTGGTCTCAGGGCATGTGTCAGAATGTAACCAATTGGTGTTCTATCTCACATCAATACTTCTCTCTCTCTCTCTTTCTCAAAAAGCAACAAAAAAATGTCTTTGGATGAGGATTTTTAAAAAGGGGAAACAATGAGCAGCTTGTAGATCACTGCTATTCAGAATCAAAGTGTGGCTTTGATGACTTTTAATAGAGAATAAGAGAAGGAAAAATACATTTTTTCTGCCTCTTAAAGTTATAGAAAGACATTATTTTTCCAAATAGCTTGCCTCTCTTAAAGGCCAGAAGTCTGAAGACAATTATTTGCATTCAAGGTTGCCTAGAAAATGAGCAATTGTCTTCTCTTTCTTTTTGAAGATAATCATTCATTGGCTTTCTATTAAAAGCAGAAAAGGGACACAATTGTTTTCATTGAAACCAGATTACAACATTTTCTAGACAGACAGTAGACAAAAAACAAGGGGATTTCTTACCGTTATTTCTTTTAAATTGATGGTCGTGGAGTGAGAAAAGCCACCAAGCATCATCTAATGTTCTTTTAAAAAGGATGATGAATAAAGATCTAAATATGCTCGGTGTCAGCAATGATCATAAAAGACATTTCTTTCAACATCTAAAAAATAACAATAGCACTGCTAACATTGAAGAGAATGTAGGGTTTAGAGAGCTTATCAATCTCCATTCTCTTTCAACTTCTGAATAGAGTGGCTTGGCTCAACTTTGTGCCTAAAATGAGTGAGGATTTATTTTGTCATCTTCCCTCATAATGTAGGATCAGAACGACCGAAGCTATCGGATTGTCCGCACAGCAGCCAGGAACACGGATATCAAAGGTCTGAATCCTCTGACTTCCTACGTGTTCCATGTCCGGGCCAGAACAGCAGCTGGCTATGGAGACTTCAGTGAGCCCCTGGAGGTCACAACCAACACAGGTAACAAGTTCTGAGGTTCTTTTTACCATTCGGGGCGAGTCCTATGACAGTGACATCCAAGGAGCTATACATAATTTTTGATCAGGCAAACATTTTGTTTCAATGAACTATGCCTGTAACTTAGAAAACCTCGTGCTATTTAGAGAAGACCATCTTAAAAATAATATTATCAACCTGTTTTTCATGTGTTTGAGAAAATGTTGTCTACTTTTTTCTTGCTTTCCACATCCTTTACACCATGAAAAATGGGATTGCTAAACCAGTTGATAGTTGCTTAGGTTTTCTTACTTTGAGACAGGAAGTTTTCCTCCTGAGGAGACTGGAGAAGGGATCGTTGTTTTCCTTCTCTATTTATTTCTAGGATCTTTTCAAATCATCAGAGCAGGTTTCTTTTTAAGCCTGTTGGATAAATATATCCAACTCTTTCAACATTCTGAGTTTGAACAACTGATTGATTGAATAAAAAATGTTAACAGGGCAAACCCATCATAAACCAGATTACATTAAGATATCTGCGCCTCCATAATTAAACAAATTGAGCCTAATTGACTACCTGATAAGGAGGTGGGGGAGCAGAGTTTTTGACACCTGTTCTAGAAAGTAATTATATTCACAAATTATTAACTAAAATAAAAATTTTTTAAGACGAAGAAAAAGTACTCCACAATTGGATTTGAAGGGGTTTGACATTCTTTTGGATTATCCTCAAGCCTTCGAGGAGGAAGTGGCCTTTGAGCTGGACAATAATAAGCAACTTTTTGATAGACTTCAGAAGGATAAGAGGGAGAGGAACATTCAAAGTCACTTGTCCTTTCTAAAATTTCCCACTATGGAATGCATCAGATTTTTATGTAAGTGTTGGGGTTGAGAGTAGAAAGGGAAAAAGGGTGGGGGGAACCCTGAGTGATAATATTTACCATAGGATTTAATAACAATCTTCTGGTTGAACTTCCTCATACAATTATAAAAAGAATGCCCTTGTCTCATTAAAGCTGCCTTAGAAAACGCTTTTGCATGAATACTTAACGAAGGGCAAAGAGGCTGTGAGCATTCTGAGTGGCTTCAGAAATCTGAAACTTGTGAGCCAGTCAGAAGTGCTCCCTCCGAGGACCTTCCCAAGGGTGATCCTTGTGTGCCTGTCGTTGCCAGTGCCTTCCCGGATCATTGGAGACGGGGCCAACTCCACAGTCCTGCTGGTCTCCGTTTCTGGCAGTGTGGTGCTAGTGGTCATCCTCATCGCGGCTTTTGTCATCAGCAGGAGGTAAGCACTTAAGCCACTCACTGAACGCCCCCCCACCCCCCATTTTTATGAGGGAGCTTTTTGTCCCCTCCACACAAAGCAGAGGCTTTGATTAGCATTATAAACATAACATTTGCATCTCAAGCCTTCTTCTCTCCGCTTTGATCTCCCCACACCCCTCCTGGAGCTGCCGACTGCACCCCGGTGGCAGCTCTCAGAGTTGAGAGCCTGGAAAGACCCAACTAATTCCAGGAAACCAGGCTGAAAAGCAAGCCAGTGGGAGATTTCTAGATACTCTAAGCTGTAAGGTGTTACATTTATATGTCTCTTAAGCTTGGACTTACTGCCAAAGGCAAAAAAAGGAAAAGCCATATAAAGCTTGAGACCAAAATTTGTGCTGTGCCATTTGTCAGCTAAATGACTTCACCTCTTTGAGTCTTTGTTTTCCTTTTTATAAAACAGGTATAATAATATCTGCTTCAAAGAGTTATTGGCGAGAGAAGTTTGATAGGCAAAGGAGATAATATGGCACACAGTAGGGGCTTCAGCATTTCCCCACAAAATCGTAGGCATAGCATTGTTATTGGAAACAAGTCTAAAAGAGTAGAATACTTACTCTCTATAACTGTACAATCTGACTTGATACCTTAAAAACAATCTGTAAAAGAAAGAACTAAAAATGGTTTGGCGGCATATTGTTCTGAACCATTTTTTGTTGTCTCCATCTACTAATTAATACTGCCAGGAGCCTTGGGAGGAAGGGGCGTGGGGGGCAGCTGCTTTCTGCAACATGTGTCCACAGCTAGGCCCCCTTTGTCTCCTGTGAGAGCAGCTCCCCCTGCTCTGACCTTCACCTCCTATACCATCAGCTGTTCCACAAGGTGAGGCTTTAGGGGGAGGGGGGAAGACACAAAAAACACAGAACCTGGGAATGTCAGAATGATCCTCTTCAATTCAAACCTTTCATATTACAGATTAGGAAAATGATACTCAGAAAGACATCCTAGTGCTTGTCCAAGGTCATGGCACTGCCCTGGAGCCAGAGCTTCTGTGGGAGCTCCAGTCGCCAGGCTGGGCTCTCAGGCCACTGTTGCCTGCTCTCTCCCTGTCCCTGCTGCTGGTGATCTCACTGATGTCACAAGGATGCCTCTGGCTATTTCAGCAGTCTGGACCAGCCAGCACGCCTTTCCTTCACTTTGGGGATGCATTATAATTAGGGTGATGACTGTATATCTTACTCTGCCTAGATAAGGTCCCAGTTGTCACATGTATTTATTAATATCATGTCTCCGCCCGCATGCTCCAAAATGCCCTGTCATACGGTCACTCCAACATGGTGTGGAACAACTCCTCATGGTGCGTGGGCACCTGCATTGGCCATTCTGTTAGTTCTTTTCCATGAAAAGTCCGTAACTCGGTGAGTTTGACTGGAGCAGTGTGTTCTATCTTGAAGATGCTATGTCTGCAACAAACTGTCATCCTTGGTGCTATGATGCATACATACATATACACGTATCTGTTCCATTCTGTGCAATGGGATATCTTGGACTTTGGAAACTTCAATGGGCATGAACAGAATTTGAATTTAGAATGTGTTTTTTCTATTCCCCTGGCATTGATTTTGGAAGCCAATCAAACTGGACTTTTTCTTGTTCATTGCCATTTGATTTTGTGTGTGTGTATGTATGTATGTGTATATGTACATACCTGCTAGCCACATAAACCCTCGAGGAATGATATGCATTAATATGTATATACATCTGATAGTGGGCTGTACCCCACTAATAGGGAGTCAGATGGAGGAGGAGAATGGAAGTGACGTGGGCTTTTGCTTTCATGACTACATATGCCTGCATTTGAAAAATTTCCAGTGCATATAAATAACTTCCTTATCAGAAAATGTAGATATTTAAAAGTTTAAAAATAGAAAAACATTATTAATTATCTTCACTTCCAAAAAGACTTGGCTGAAACCCAGCACCATGTGATGGGTCGGTTCTGAGCATCAGAACCACTTGGGACAAACGGCACTTGTTTGCAGAAAGCGGGTCTCTTCTAGGGACTCCCAACCTCCTCTCCCATGCTGGTTGGCAGCATTTTCTAATCGTCATCCAACTTTCCTTTAATATACATTTTTTAAAAGAAAATTTAGGTTGCCCTGAATATAGCAGTCAAACCCATGTAATTAGAAATAAGTCACCTCATTATGAGTTTCCCTCGGATGTTCTGCTTGAACAAAAAGAGTGAAAATGTCATGCGGGGAGACAAGTTTATTAAAAGCCATAGCTCTAGAAAATAGCGTCACAAGCCTGATGACTTAATTTCCTCTCTGCTTTTATTGATCACTTTATTATTTAAGGCAGGGTTGATAGCAGGATGCATCGGATTTCCAATTATGAGCCCCCACCTTAGAGAACTGAGCCTGTCGAGTCACCCAGCGATGATTCCTGTCCCTTCTTCCCCATTTAAAAAAGAAATGTCACTTCCCAAGGCTGACAAACACTGCTTGGTGATTGGTCTTCAATGGATCACTTTTTAGAAAATGAAATGTCAACCCCTTGCCCTCTTATTGATTCTGCCTTAGTGTTGGCCATAAAGCTGTCATGAGAAGGCTGCCTGGAGCCAGGTAGCTGACAGGCTTTGCCGGGGCTGATGCACACTCAGCTGATTCTTCTGCACACGCAGGCCCGTGCTCTGTCATGTCCAACGGCAAATGTTAAAACGGGACAACAGCGGGTGAAGAGAGAGGAGACAGGTAGTACGGATAAAAGTCTAGCCCATGCTTTTAGTGAGCGTGCAAGCGAAAGGTGGCAAATGGTAGCTCCAGATAGTCTCAACACGCTGCAGCCAATGAGACGCCCTCGCCTGGAAAGTGATGGGGCTGCCTCTGGCTTCTTAGACACACAGAATATTCATGGCAGGATGGATGCTGCAGCCAGACCCCGCAGAGGGTGGTTCCCCTCCATGTGAATCCAACACTGCTGAGATTTTAAAGAGGCAAATGGGCAGGGACCCACAGGGTGAGAAGGTTTCAGTGCCTTTGATTACTTCAAAGAGAAAGTCTGTTTGGTGCTAATTTGTCCTTTAAGGAAGAGGAAATGGCCTTGGGCTCACAGCTGGTGTCGTACTAGATTTTTTTAAGTACTAATTGTGTCATTACTGCCATCACATTTGCTTTACACTCAGAAGCCTGAGCCTTAGGCAAGTCTGCGTAATCTTCACTTTTTTTCAATGAGAAGATCCACGTTTTTCCTGGATGTGTAAACATTTAGAGATCTCAGTGACAGAGTCAAACTACTAAGTGTATAAACTTTATGTATTTGAAATGATGTGTTAACAAAGCAGGTTGAGCTCAACGTACTGTACGTTTTTACCACCTGATTAGGTTAAACAAATTAACTGACGTTTTATGTAGGCACCTTTGATCGTCGTCTTCCTCAGGACTCAGATGATATTTTAAGGGTTCCGTCAGCTTTTTGGAGAGGACAATTGCACTTGCTAAGTGGGCCGTTTAAGGCGCAGCTCTTGTATCCATGGATGCTGTCCCCAGAAATTGTATCACAAACCACATATGCACATTCTCTTAGCAGACAGCATCATTTCCCCTTTTTCCTGTAGGGACATATTTGGAACCTCTACCATGGAACCTCTTTGTTGCCTTTTGAAGTGATACTCGAAGAGACAATTCACAGCGACATCATAAAATTCAATGATAAGGTCATAACCTCCAGGATTAATGGTCAAATGTATTAAATTTCTATGACACCCCCCTTTCTGTTAATGATTTCACTGGGCTTTCTCCAGAAGCATCCCAAATAGTATTACTTTGGGGTGCTATAGGCTAGTGTGTCTTCCCCAAATGATCCTTTACTGTTCAAGTGTGAAAACCCCTTCTAAGAAAGGGCTAGAACACAAGATGACTTCCTCCTTCCTAGAGGACAGTTGGTAATCAGAGGCAAGTATTGGCTGATAATGGGCTGTAAGCTGCTCGGATACTCACCTGGGAGGATCGCTAGTGATGCTGCCTCTCCCTGTCTGCCCGGGTTATAAAGTCCCCCTTGTACCTGAATTCAGAAGAAGAAGGGAGTTGACTTTAAGAAGAAAATGAAGTGTATGGCGAAATTTGTGAGGGAGCTTCGCCAGCATCTCTGGTTTAAGAAACCGCGGAGCACTAACACTGGCTTCTTGTGCATCAGGAACTGGGGGCTGAGGAGGGTAAACTGTTAACTGAACCAAAGGCACACAGCTAGTTAGTTGCCTGATCAGGACAGGAGTTCACCTCTCCCGATGTCCAATCCTGGCATAGATAGATTATTTTAGTATCTTCTTAACTGAAAAACTGGACCTACATCAAAAGCTAACATCAACGGTTCTATCGAATCAAAATTTTAAGAGTCTGTACAGTGATGTTGGTAATATTTGTAATCTGTGAAATTAATGTGCAAGTCTAATGCATACTATAAAGTCAGATATCACACGTTGGTGTTGTCTTCTTAGAAGGAAGGTTAAGATTTTCCACTTGGAAGATAACTGCACATTATGCGAAAACATTACCATTCAGTCTGTATCAGTCCACATGCGCCTTTCCCTGGTGTCCTCATTGGAATATTACGATCACATAAGAATGAGTACACTTAAATGGTAGCCTGAATTGGCTCTGATGAAGCCATGTAAATTCATACAATTAGGGGGCAGATGGTACTGCGGGACCATTTCTAAACAAACTTTGTGCAATCACACGGTACCATTACAAAATGTTGCTCTTGAGGAACATTCAGACATCATTTGGAGTGAGAACAGTGATAACTTAAGGTAGATCAAAAAGAGGTGTGGTTTCCATGACTCCTGCTGGGTGATGCCACTGAAAACCGGCAAGGGTCCTCCGGGAGCTGGGCTAGTTATTTCCTTGCTTTATGTTCTTTAACCTGTACTTTAGGTGAATAAATTACTTACCTTTTACTAATTAATCAAATGCATCCACTGGGTCAGGGAAGTTAGTATTTCAATAAGAGTGAGTTTCTGATGGACCCCTGTCCCCCTCCCCTCCACTGTTTGGTTGGCTGTATTGAGCATCTTCAAGGTGCCAGGCAGTGCTGGGGCTCACGCTGTTCCTCAACAATGTCCCTTAACACTCTTATCACGCCTCCCTTTGACAGAGGGAGGGCTTAGCTCACAGGCTTTCAAAGTTTCACCTGCAGAGGGGACCCTTCAATCTAACTCCTGCTGTGGATGGGTCCCATATTTCCTTCTGGAGCATTCACTAACCCACCACCCCCCTCCTTGCCCATTTTCAATCAGCTTGCCCACATCTCAATAATTAGAAAGTCTTCAACAAAGATCTCCTTCTGCCATTCAGGTGCGCTTCCTTGGGTGTCAGTACGGAGTTTGCACATCTTTAGGCTGCGTGCTTTACTCTGGGCGGGCTGACCCAATAAGACGCTTCACTGAGCTTTCTTTCTTGGGACTAGAAAGGCCACATTGTCCTTCCCTGAGAGGAGGAGAGAGGGTCATAAGGTGACTAAGGTAGAGCAGGACTAAGGCATTTTAGTTTTCAAGGTATTATTAAAAAGCTAATAGGCTACAATTAGCCTTTGAACAATAATTCTAGTGTTCCCTTTTCAGCATTCCCTGGACTCTCGTAGGGTCCTCCATTCTAAGTCACACTCCAAAGTAAAGAAGTTTCCTTAAAGATACACCTCCCCCTCTAATTTAATTCCGCCTTTATGTTTAGCAGTCTGAGGAAGGGATGGACATGTCAGCCTTATAATTAATGACCCCTGCCATTCTGCATTTCCTCTGGCTTTGCACGTATTTAAGGCAGTGCTTGGTATAAAGCAGATTACCCCATTCCTGGGCAGCTTGAAGCCACTTGTTTCTCTTGGTGCACACCAGAGTTTTTGATGAATTCAGTGACAATTTAAAGTTGCTACCAAAGCTCTCCTGCTCTATGCTCCTTTTCCACCCTTTTCAAAGAGAAGAAATTCAAAACAGTATCGGAGATCTAAAGTGGTTTAAGAGATATACTTGTAATCTTAGATAATGCTTTTAGGAGCTCTGATAAGATACAATCTCTGAGGCTGGCAGGACCTTATCACACCCTTGGGACAGAGCCAGGTGTTCCCCTAGTACAAAATGTTGTTTACCCAGGCCCTGACTTAACACTCTTACATTTCCTTTATAAAGGGAAGGGTGGGGAAGGTTTGGAGAGGACTGCATCTTTCTTTTCAATGTTTGGTTGCAGAATATTTAAGCTTTGTTTAGTTTTGTTGATGAAGCAGCGGATTTTGAGAGCAGAGTAGAATGCAGTTTAAGTGGATTTACTGGTATAAAAAGTAAAATCACTGATAATGCACTCTCTCACCTTACCCTCCTGTAACTTCACCTCCCTGGTGAGAGGCATGAGAAAGGGGAGGCGGGTCAGGAGAGGCTCTCTCCAGCACTTTCAGAGAGGGCCATGGTGAATCGCTCACCAGTTGAAGTTCCTGCCTCTGCGCAGTGGGGATGGACTGTGTGTCTCTCTGCCTGGTGCTTTCATAGGGTTGATGTGAAGATGCAATGAAATAATAGATGTGCAGGCTGCTATACGCAAAGTCAGAAGACAAGCTGTTATTTGGGACTGAATTACACGTGCTTTGCCAGTTCACTCTGGTAACTGGATCTCTGTTTACTAAACGGCTTCCTGCTTTGCAAACAGTTAGGAGAGGAGATAATATATGTGAGGAAAGCACTTTGAAAAATTAAATGCAGTGTCAAAGTGCAAGGTATTATTATTTGCAAGGGAATTACAGACACAGAGGAACATCTGTGGGTTCTGAGGGTCTGAGAGGTGGGCAGGCTCCTGCCCTGCTGACAACCAGGAGAGGAATGTGGGTGAGAAGCTCAGAACTCAGGACCAGGATGGAGGCCTCTCTCCCTGCACCGCCTGGCTCCCGGAGGTTCTGTTCTGATTCCTCTGTTTACATGATCATCGGCCCTTCTCTACTTGTCCGCCGTTAGGCGTTCAGTTACTGCGTTCTGACTGGCCTTCAGAGGACTGTCATCTCAGAACCTCAGTTTCTCATATATAACAGTCTCGACTGATCTCTTTAAAGCCCTGAGAAAATACAAGATGATTATAAACTCCAGTGTCAACTTGATATTTTTGACAGAAACCCATTGTATTCACTAATTTGGTTTCATCTTCCCAAAGCTTAGAGAGATGTGATACCAACCAAGTTGATTTTTGAAAAGATTTTATTCATTTATTATTGTAGAGAGAAGGGAAAGGAGGGAGAAAGAGGGAGAGAAACTTGTGCAAGAGAAACATCGATTGGTTGCCTCTCAAATGTCCCCAGCTAGGGACTTGGCCCTCACCCCAGGCATGTGCCCTCACCAGGAATCAAACTGGCCACCTTTTAGTCCACAGGCTGGCCCTCATTCCACTGAGCCGTGCCAGCCAGGGTTGGTTTTCTCATTCACTTATCTGATATTTTATACACACACAAATATCTACATGTATAATGTATTAAAATTACTGGTTCAAGATTTATAAATAGTCAAGATTTCTGATTCCCAAAACTGTATTGCAAAGCCAGATCTCACTCCTAGAAGGTATTTGGAGCAGAATGAATGCCAACTGCAAGAAGACCATACACACTAGTTTTTCTGGAAAGAGAATTAGACTACAAATGAAGTTTCCTATTTCCACTTTTTCAAGGTTTCTACAAACTCTTAAGGAATGTAATCCAGTACGAAGCACATATTTACCCTTGAAATTTCCATGAACAATTGAGGGTTTGAATTACCCTCCAAACTGAAGTGGTTCCCCTCCATGTGAACCCAACATCCAACTGCATGCAGCGTCTGAAACCAGCAACCACAAAACCATTGTTTTAAGAATATCACATAATATGATCATGAGCTACCTCTCACATGCTGGACATCATTGCTGTTTGATTTACCCAGCATTCACCCATGGAAACATATTTTAATTTAGAATACATGAGGGAAAATCCATCAATAAATTTCTACTCTGTCTTCAATAATACACATTTCTTTGGGGAATTTGAAGTTGTAATTATATTATAAGATACTTGCTTTATTACCTTAGTTCAACACAGTAGTGAAGAGCAGAGACTGCTCTCCGACTGCTTCTGCTCATTGCCACGCTTCGCTACCCAGATGACGTCATTCGCCTTGTTGGTTCACTGCCCCTGAACCTCACTGTCTTCCCCTGTGAAATGTGCAGTAGTGTATCTGCTTGACTTACACTGTGAGAGCAAAAACTTACCTTGTGGTTTTCAGATTTTAAAAATGACTTTCTTTTTTAAAATTTTTTTAATAGACGGAGTAAATACAGTAAAGCCAAGCAAGAAGCAGATGAGGAGAAACATTTGAATCAAGGTACAAAAGACTGGATTAAAAGTAATTTTAGTTTTAGAGCATGTCTTCTGTTTTCAGTTTAGAAATGTCTAAATGATATTCACATGGCTATTCATATTATATTCCTTTTATGGAATCACCCAAATAATGTACTTCAAGGTATCAAACTGAAATAGGTGACTGGAGATTCTTGAAGGTGACAGGAAAGATGGGATTTGGGGAAATTCCTTTAGATTCTTTTTTTTTCTCTTTCCTTTATCCTCCACCCTGAACATGTATTGGTCTACCTGGCTCCTTTTTATAGCTGGGTGGTAAGATTTAATGGATAATGACTTTGTTTTTCTCATATTCAAAGATAAACTTTGCAGAGAGAAGGAATTCAAAATTGAAATTTAACTGCTATGCCAAACAAAATAAGTAGAATTCAGGACCATCGATAATGCTTTTGTGGATTCTGGTTCTTTCGATCCAAATGGGGTCACTGGATAAATGTACAGAATTGGCTCTAGAATGACTTGAGCAAGGGAGAAGACTCTGAAGTGGACAGAGGTTGGTAACCACTGAGGAACACTTCAGAAATTTCTCAGATGCTGGCCCAACTGTGTACCTCTGTACCACCCAGTACATCAGCCAATAGCCACATGGACTACTGAAGACTTGAATTGTAGCTAGTGTGAACGAGGGACTAAGTTTCAAATTCTATTAAATTTTAACCAATTTACATTTAAATAGTAACTGTGGCTAATAGGTGCCCTATCAGACGGCACAAGGAGTTAAAAGAGGCTGGGGTAGGAAGAATAATATGAGAAAAATGAGAAAGATTTTCTTGAGTGGAACATCTAAAGTGATAAAGGTTATGGAGTCCCTGACAACTTTTTATTTGTTCGCTTTCTTTTTTTTCTAAAGCATTTTTTAAAATTTGCACGATATATACATTTTTGAAAACAAAAAATGTATTTTTTTGTGTGATGAGGCCAAGACTGACAGGCCTGGAAAATCAGAGACTGGGCCATTCAGTGCCTTAGACCCTGTCTGCGCCCCAAAGCCAGAGGAGCTCAGGCAGGAGAGGAGAGGTGTGCATACCAGTGCAGGGTTCCTGGGGCATCTCAGGGCTGCTGCACCTGGCTACATTCTGAAGTTAGTTTGCAAGTGACTGTGGGATATGGCTGGATTACGCTTCCTGGTATTCAAACCATTCACGTCAGGCTGCGTTTCCTCTGCTAAAGCTTCCAGGTAACCTTCCATGTCTTTACTCTCTCCCAAAGCAGAATAAAAGCAGAGATCCAGTACAGAGGCCATATTCTCTAGTCAATTAGCAGATCTTACTCCTCTTGTCTATTTTCATCTATGTTTAGTCTCAGTTTGGTAATTGTTGGTCACATATCAATCGCCCCAGAGACTGGGCGAGGGTGGCATCATGTAGACGAGGCAGCTGAAAAGGAAAGTGTTTATTATCTTCCATAAGGGAGGGTAGCTGGAGGTGGTGGGTAGGGCAGGGACAACCAATCAGAGCAACAATATTTAGCTCATACATTCCAAATTCCCTTCTTCATTTTCTCCCTTGGATGAATTGGTTTTTTTTAAATTTGTCCTTAAAGTGGGAAGATATTCCACAAAATCAGTAGAGTGGCAGCCTCTTTACAATTCTTTGTTTACCCACTAAGGAAAACCAGAGCAAGAATTTAAACATTTTCACATGTCTATGCTAAGTATTTTTCTCATTGTGAAGAAAACGTTTTCTGTGCTAAGCATGTTTAGGCTGAGACAACACAGGTTTATTAGTGGCCCCTGGGAAGTGTTTGCTCATTCTATCACGTGTTTATTACGTAGGTGTTAGAACTTATGTGGATCCCTTTACATACGAAGATCCCAACCAAGCAGTTCGAGAATTTGCCAAAGAAATCGACGCATCCTGCATTAAGATTGAAAAAGTCATAGGAGTCGGTAAGTCTGAGTGTCTCTCTAATATTTCCTTTGTGGATATTAAAAAGGACCCGTGGACAAAGCTAAAAGGCGGTAGGATATTGAGGGTGGGAGGTGGGGGCAGGTGGGGGCAGGAGGAAGGGGTGGTGGGAAACTGTACCTGAACAACGATAAAAAATAATAAATCTCCAGATATTATAGCAATGTGTATATTATAGGTACATGTATCTATGTGAATATCTGTACATGAAATCACCTCACTCCATGTGAAATATTAGCACATTGCCTGGTGTGTAATAAGCACCCAACAAATGTTGGCTATTACTCTTTCATCTTGAGTGTGTTTCTGGTCCATAGTCAAATCTTTTTCTTTCCCAAAGGTGAATTTGGTGAAGTTTGCAGTGGGCGTCTCAAGGTGCCTGGCAAGCGAGAGATCTGTGTGGCCATTAAGACACTGAAAGCTGGTTATACGGACAAACAGCGGAGAGACTTCCTGAGCGAGGCCAGCATCATGGGACAGTTTGACCACCCGAACATAATTCACTTGGAAGGCGTCGTCACCAAATGTACGCGGGTCACTCCCTTTACAAAGCCAAGTTAGAAGTTACTGGCAAATTAAACACACATTTTCTTTCCAGGGAAATGACAGATGGAGCAGGCCCACTGATTGCTAATAGGAGGAAATCAGTGCAGGACACGTCATTAATCTTGTAGTCAGCTCTAAATGGGTGTATGGTTTAGGCTGATGCTACTCTTTCCAAGGCAGCTTGTGTGAGATTTTAGGGAAATTAATATTTCAGGCTTTTGGTAGGCCTTGCCATCTTTCAGATCTTTGCTAGACCCAACTGATTGTCACAGGGTAGGTGCAAGCAGATGGTAAGCAAAATAAATTTGAAGTACTTTTCATATAAAATACAACAAAACCTCACCACACCTTGTGCTGGAGGCTTCCGTTCCAGATGCAGGGAGGGGATCTTGGGAATCTTTATTAGATGGGGAGATTTGCTTGTCTGCTCTGCCTGATTTATGGCGGCTGCAGGGCAGCACCCAGTTGCAGTAACACCTGGTTGAACTTTCCTTTTTTAGTCCATTAGCGTTCCCTGAGCCTGTGAACCACGCTTCAGTTAAAATACAACATGGCTCAACAGATGTATTTTACAAAGCAAACCCTGACTGCACTGGGAAGGCTGGCTAAGACCAGCTTATAAAAGGCCACACGGACAGTGCAGCTGAAGTGCTTATTACTGAAGGTGGCTCTGTTCCAGGAGCCTTTGTGCCTCTTGCAGTTCCTACACTCAAGGACCATGTAAGCCTGGGGCTATGTCTCCAGGAAGCCAGGGTGCCTCTCATTTGATTCCAGGTGCCTGTGAAATGCATCCTCCGACCATGGTACACAGGGGCTGCTCCAGGAGGTGAAGGGGAGAAGGAAGTGCAGGTTAAAGATTAAATTTTGGACGTTAGACCTGGGGCAGAGGCGGAAGTATGATGTAGCGCACAAAGCCTTACATTTAAGAAGAGACCATGAGGTTACTGAAAACTGAGGAAGCGCACACTAGTTCAGAGACCCCCAAACTTAAACATACATCAGAATCCTGGAAAATTCTCAAACTTCTCATCCTCGGAGCTTTGATCCAGCAGGTGGGGTGAGGTCCATGCGTTCAAATTTCAGGCTCCCAGGTAAGTGCCCGCAGGTCCCGGGACCACACTTGGGGAACTTGCTTTGGGCCTAAAGACTGAAGACTTCTGCACCTACTCCGCTGCTGGTGAAGCATGTGGCCATAACTCGATGCTCCATATATCAGTTTCCCCATCTGTAAAATAGAGATAAAAATAGAACTTGCCTTACAAGGTTATTTTGGGTGCATTATTCAGCATATTTAGCATAATGGTTGGCACATTAAAAAAAATTCAAATGTTAACTGGTGTTACTAATATCTTAAGAAGTATATCTTTCTCCATCTTCAAATCCTTAAGAAAAGGAACTTCGGTGTGAAGGATATATAATTTTCCCACCTCAGGTGAAGGCTATAATTAGCATAGAATAGCTCTATTTGCGTTTTAAGATTAGTTTTACAGACAGGATATTTTTCTGTTGCCTATGGCCTTCGGGGCTGCCCAGAGCCCTTCACTACTTTAATTAAAAGATAACATTCCGTTTAAATACTTCTGCAGGTCCAGTTTCTCAAATGGAGGCTCTGTTCAGCTCGGGGTATTTTTCCTGCCACAGACAGTGATTTTCACAGCACCCCTGTAGAAGGGGGAAGAAACAGGGGATCTTTGTGTGGAAGTCCCACTGCGCCTCTAAACCCCGCAGCTATTACAGCTGTAACTGCTATAAACGACTGGGCGCATTTGCATAATGCAGTTGTCACTGAGTTAAAATGATTTAAAATTTCCACCAGAGGAACTGTCCCCTCCTCCCCTTCCCTCTCCCCTGCCCACTGCGTCTCCCCCACCGGTTCCAGAAAAGGAACCGCCTCCCTCCATGAGCCTAGCTTAGGCCCATTTTATAAGCCCCCTTGCTTCTGGAGACGTTCACCTTTATTTCGCTTGTAGAGCTCATAAAGGTTCTGACAAATGGATACTGTTAATAAGCAGGAAAAGGAATGCAGAAAGATCGTGAAGACGGTGCCAACAGTCGGACTGGGGAGGTGTGAGGGTGCAAGGGTGGACGAGAAGAGTGTGAGTTCATTACCAGCAGTGACTGGAGGAACTTTTTAAATTGACAAGGAGACTATAAATTCTCTCCACCACCCGCCTGTCTTTTGGATCCTCTTCTCTCTCCTCCTCACCTCCGGAGGGGCTGGTGAAATGGAAGTAGGTGTTAATGCACCGCCAAGGGAGCCGCCCTTCCTCATGAGTTGACAAAGTATCTTTTGATTGAGGCAGGTTAATTAAAACTCATTTAGATGCATTTGTCCTGTCTGGAAGACTGCGGTCACAGACGTGGAGGGCAAAGGAATGTAAGAGCTTCTTCCTGTCTGCAGGGCGGGAAGGGGGGCCCCGGGACCCCTCCCCGCAGCCCAGGGTGGAGACTGGAGGTGGTCTCACTCCTCCTCCTGTCTACACCGAGGTTTCTACTTTTCCTGCCAGCTTTCATTCCTCACTTGAAAATAAAGTCGCTGTGCCATTGGTTTCTAATCCAAAATTTTTCCTGGGAAAGGTTTCTTACCAAAAATACCATCAAAAACCAAATTGATACATTACACTTTCTTGAATTAAAAAAAATTCTGCTCTTTAAAATGTTTGCCTCTGAAGCAAAGTCCAGTGTCTTTCCCCCGCATCTCTGCAGAGTCTAGTTTGACAGAGGCTCTGGGTGGGGAGTGTTTTAGTTTAGAATAATTCGGGGGGGTGGGGGTCTCCTCGGCAGTGACATATCCCAGCCTGTTTTCCCCAAGTTCAAACAGTCCACAATGAACAGCAATGCAAGTGTGAATATTTTTGATTTATTATCAGACTAACGTTTTATTTTCCTCCCAGGGAATCTTTTATGTTCTCTTTGCTCTAACCCTTCCCTTAGTAAAATATTGAGAATTTATACACCACCCTCACCCTCACACCCTCCCCCGACCCAAATCCCCTTCAGAAAAAAGGAATTTCAGACCTTGAGTCTACTGCCAGCGATTAAGAAACTAAAGAACGGTTCTTATTCCCTACGGTCCTCAGAAAGAAAACTAAAGTGAAATAAAAAGGGCGTTTCTCCCACTTTTCCCAAACCTTAAAATCATTGTGATTTCTTTGCCAAAAAGAAGGTAGACAGTGGGGAAAAAAGACTGTTCCCTCGCAGAATTAAGATTGCTGTCTAGGATGAAATAATTTAATGAAACTTTTCTGTGATTCTGTTGTTGCTGCTGAAGTTGGTGGCTTAAGGAAATACACAGAATACATTTATTTATCAAAAGGAAAAGGGAAAAGAAAGGACCCAGCTCCTAATCCTAGGAAGACAAGGAAAGAAGTTAATATTTTGCATGCTGGAGCTTTAAGATGTGTCTGAGCAATAAAGTCGTCCACATAGTTACTGCTTCGTGAAAATTGTGTTTCTCCTAATAAGTAAAAAAAAAAAAAAAACTTTTCCCACCCATCGATTCCTCTAGCATAGTTCAGAGAACAAGTGGTTCTTCTGGGGACAAAATAAATTAATTATCCTAAAAACTTTTTTCCCACCTTTAAACAGGCCTGCCCATTTATCTTCTTCCCCTTTGGCTTGAGAGAGCAATTACCCATTCCTGTGCTCCCTGGATACCAGAGGCCACTTTAGTTAAAGACCTTGTCAACACGCCACGCGAAGGGTTAACCTTCCAGATGGAATTTAAAGCGACTCGTCTTTTTAATATTTCATTCCTCGCTCCCCACAGCTGAGGCATAAGCTTGGCTTGTTTTAATTAAATTAGATCACACAAGACAGGTGTCTTGGCAGTAAAATTGTGCACGGCCCGTTTTTATCTCATTAACTGTAGGGCTCATCACCGGTTTGTGTTTCTCTTTTGGAAAATTCTAGGTAAACCAGTGATGATCATCACCGAATACATGGAGAACGGCTCCTTGGATGCATTCCTTAGGGTATGTGACTACTTTATATCAAAGCCAAGGATGTTGGTTATTTAGAAAACTCGAACAGACTTTTCGCATCCATTGTATTTGGTGGTGCTTTTTCATGGGGCAAAGGAAGAAGAAGAGAAATAGAAAATGATATGATTTTTAAAAACTATGAAGTAGTCCATGTTCAGCAAGGGTAGGATTTGATTTATTTGCGTACCGTGGGGCTGTCTGCGCCATGGACTCATTACAGTTGGATAATTTCCATCTATCACAGGAAGCAAACCCAGCTTCTCGGTTATACTCACTTTTCTAGTGAATTAGTGACTTTGGTCAAAAAGGCCCAGAAATACGGTTGAATTTGATTGCATAGCAGATACAGATATCAAAAAAAGATCCAAGTAATATAAAGGCCTGTTGAAAATTAATTTGGCCTAGTGCTAACAAGATTGTCCCTCCCTCTTTTCCTATGCAGAAGAATGACGGCAGGTTCACAGTCATTCAGCTGGTGGGCATGCTTCGTGGCATTGGGTCTGGGATGAAATATTTATCTGATATGAGCTATGTGCACCGCGATCTGGCTGCACGGAATATTCTGGTAAATAGCAACTTGGTCTGCAAAGTGTCTGATTTTGGCATGTCCCGGGTGCTTGAAGATGATCCGGAAGCAGCTTATACCACGAGGGTAAGAAGGAGTTGCAACCTCTGAGTTTTAACTGTGAAACTATTCCTCTCTTTTTACTTTGATGCTTCAGCTCTTCGTGATGTTACAAGTTTTCTAATCCTTCAGAGTCTCTTTATATCCATGCATCCATTTCGAAGCATGTTTCCTAGAGAAGGGTTTTGAAATAGCTTGTATATGTGTGACCACGTCACAAAGCCATAAAGTGAGGCTTTACTTACTACATTTTTTTTTACATTTAATTTTTCTTCCTTTCTGTCCCTGCCTCCCTCCATCTCTCCATCCCTCCTTCCTTCCTTTCCTGCCTTCTTTTCTATTTGTTTTAGATTTTCTATGTGGTTCTTTCTTATTATTAACACTGACATTATTTTAAACAAGACAAACAATGTTCCTCGTTGGCTGGCTTCCGAGTCTGAGAGTGTATGCAGAGGATTTATAAAACATTTACTCTGTGCGAGGTTTTCCAGGATCTAATGGCCTTCATTTTACTGCTGGTAGATAAGCCAGGATTAGGGCACAGTTAAGAGTTATCAGTATCCAGTTAATGGCTATGCTATCTTAGCTGGACCATCGGAATATAAGATACTAATGGAATAAACACAGAATCATAAAAGTTATTGGCCATTAGGGCCGACACGGTTAAAATCAACATGAAGCAGACAGTTACCAGCCATTTAATGCTTACCATTGTGTATCCTCAATCCTAGGCATTGGATTTTTTTGCTTGTTTGTTTGTTTTCCTTGCGGTGTTCTATTTCCTTGGCTCTACTTTTAATTCACACACATATCCTGTTTTGAATTTCCAGTGCTTTCGTTTAGGAAAGAATACATCTTGGTGAATGCTGAAGATCTTTTCTTTTGTCCAAGTAACTAGACAGAGACAAGTGAAAGGAGCCTTCTTGAATGATCCATTGACGTAGATAAAACCTTGGCCAAATATTTAAGGGAGGCAGAGGCGACTCAAGTCGCCTGTATGTAACACGTGCAAATGTGACACTGGGCTTGCTGAGTACATTACAGTGACTCAGTGCAATTTCCAGTACAATGGAATGTCCTGTTCAGTAGCCCTAACAAAGCAAACTTTTAAGTGATGTCCTCTTGAACAGCGTTATGGTCTAAATTCAAGTTGAATTAATTTCCCCACACGGAACCCTAAAAAAATTTGAAAGTGAATTAAAACGAAATACATTTGAGGAGGGGAAAAGGCATTATAAACTTTTCCTAGGTCAGTCAGCTGCTTTACCAATGTTGCTGGAGTATGTGTGTGTTTCAATAAGTGTTTTGTTTTTCACTGTATTAAAGTCAATAATGGCTCTAGCACCTGCCATTATTTGGCTTCCTCCAAGAGTCTATTGAGTGCATGATCTTCTAGTTCTGTTGGGCATGTTTTGCATGCCTTTGTGCTGCTGGCTGACAAAATTTAACAAGAAGTCAAAATGAGTATCAGCTGCACCTCCATTGATATACCACGGTGAACACATCTATCTCGTAAAACTTGAGATTGAGATTCCTTCTCTTCCACAATACTGCCTTAAGCAGAGCTCAGATAATAGGTAGGCTTTTAAAAAATAATTAAACAGATTACTTGTTCACCTCCCTGTGACGAAAGAAAACATCCAAGGAGAACTGTTTCTACCTGAAAGACTTTAGTTACAATAAACAAGTCTCCTATTGTTGTTTGGAGAGCCATGTCAGGAATGCTTTTGTCCTGCTTGGCAAGCAGTAACAACATTCAGAAACTTAAGTGGCACATCAGTAAAATACTTAGGGAATAACTTACAGTTCGGATGTTCATAGGGTGGCAAGATTCCTATCCGGTGGACTGCGCCAGAAGCAATTGCCTATCGTAAATTCACATCAGCGAGTGATGTATGGAGCTACGGAATCGTTATGTGGGAAGTGATGTCGTATGGAGAGAGACCCTACTGGGATATGTCCAATCAAGATGTGAGTCTCCACATTCTGCAATATATGTCTTTGCATTGGAATTCAGGAACTTTCTCATTAGTGTATGATAGAGTGTGCTCTGGGCTTGAGATGATGCATTAAACTCAAGATTCTCAATACAGATATGTCTAGTAATATGGTTAAATGGTATGGTGGTGGATTTCAAGGACCAAAATTACATAGCCCAAATGTTACAGAATGGAGATAGAGAAGATAGATAGTGAGAGAGATATGCTTAGATTAGTGACATGGAACCATATTCTAACTCCGATAACTTTCAAATTCATGTGGAAATAAAGTTAAACTTTGAATTTTAAATGCAAGGATATATGAAAAACACACATTTCACATGTGATAAAATTGACACGAAAGGTTTATGGGAGGAAAACTAGTGACTGTGTTAAAGCCGGCAGAGTTGTAATTAGAGCTGGCCCTGGAGGACTCTGAAACAGAGCTTCACTGAATGACCCTTTGTAAATTATGCACATCCTTTTAAACGCACCATCTGGACCACTTCGTAAGGGAGTAGCCACAATGCCTGCAATTTCAGAAAAGCATTCAATAACGACACTAATAAGATTCCAGAGTAATAGAATTTAATTACAAACATCTCCAGTAAGAAAGGGGAGGGGCGCCTTGGACTAGGGGGTCTCCCTAGAACACTCATTAGCTAATTCTGGAAAGGTTTTAATTCTGGAAGGGTTGGAAATCGGATCACAATAAAATGTATACTCTGAACTTTTAAAAAATTATATAAATGATATAGAATATTAGGACAGAGTGTCAACAGATGCAGGTATTTTCCCTTTATATTATATTTTAGAAAAAAACTGATCTTTTAAAAATTTCTCTGTGATGTGGAATATCACCTGACCTTCTTCCATGCCCTGAAACACAGGGACTTGACGATTCAGTGAAAAACCAGGTGTGCTCAGGGAGCAACATGCTTGGAGCCTCATCTGTAAAAGAATGTTCAGAGCTACAGAGAAGCTAATGAACTCCATGTCTAGTGGGGCAAAAAGAATTCTCTAACTAGATTAAGAGGGATGGTGGTGTTGACATTGGATTATCTGTGAATTGTAAAGGAAGGTGCATAGCAGATGGGAGGGAAGACGGCAGCTAGTGTAGCTGGTAGATAATTATAGGCTGGAAAAGACTACAGATGTGGATGGTGCGTAATCTATTGTCTGATGTGCTATGCAGTTGCCTTCCAGTACCTCTCTTGTAGCAACATTTGATTTTGGGTTACAGACTTTCAGAGGGACAAAGACAGGTAACCTAAATGAGCGAATAAGTGTGTGTATTCATTTAATCATTTTATGATTAAACTTTCCTTTATTTTAGTGGAGAGTCATGGTCAAATGCTCATAATAGCAGATGAACTAAAGATTTTGTTAGTTTCCCTGCCCTAAATATTTTCAGACCTGGAGTTTTAATAGTTTCTATATTATATTAAAATCACTTTGATTTTAAATTTTCAATAGTCTAGCTTTATTCATGAAAAAGCATCTGAAGCATTTGTCTCCCACAAATAATACTGATCTACATTCATGGGTATTTGTCTTGGTGTTGGACTCTGTATAGAGCAGGAATCAATAGGAAATGTAACTGGAGAATTACTTTCATGTGTAGAAATCATTTGGCATAGAGTGAATGAGTTAATGTAACTTGAAAATACGTCATTCTTATCAAGTTATTTGTTGGTCTTATTTTTATTTTTTTAAAGATTTTCTTTATTTACTTCTTAGAGAGTAGGGAAGGGGGAACGAAAGAGAGGAAGGGAAAGTCAGTGTGTAGGAGATACATCCGTTGTATCTCTCTCAGGTTGCCTCTCACAAGCCCGGCAGTGGGGAACCTGGCATGCAACCCAGGTATGTGCCCTGACCAGAAAGCACATCTGTGACCTTCCGCTTTACAGGCTGGCACTCAGTCCACTGAGCCACACCAGCCAGGGCAATATTTTGTTGGTTTGCATCCTCTGCTCCACCTTCCCCCAAAACATTCAGCAGTAAACTGAGAAACTATGCTTGCTTGACCCATCAGCCATCTTGCAGGCTGGCAGTGGGTAGGGAGCTAAGGAAAGAGTATTAAGCAGTCTGAGGATTTACAACACATTGTGTTAGCCCGGCATTAGCCCAGTGCTGCTTGCGTTGTCATCGGTTCATTATGAAGTGTTTTCTTTAAGTCTAGAGTGAACACCCTGCACCTGGAAAGATAAAAGAAAGGGAGAGCATCAGGCTGACCTAATGTGATTACCAGAAATGAGTAGAATCATGTTCAGGAAGGTAGGATATAGAAATCTACTTTAGAAGGAGACGTAAATTAATACTAGTACAACAGGATGTTGGCAAAAATTCACGGGACAAAAAGGACCAGAGGGCTTAATAAATCACAAGATGGTTGTAAAGCTTAAACAGTGCACTGGTTAAAAAGGCAACACGTCTTACTGGTACAGAGAAACTGGACCCAACTGAACTGACCATTTGGTGTTGAAGACTAATTTTTCAGCAGTAAGGACGGGGAATCCAATGTGGTCACTGGTTGTTTTGCTAGCAACTACAGTTTTTTAAGCAAATAAAACCTAACAAAATCCCCAAACAAGCAAAATCACCTCCAGAATCTCATAAGATACCCATAAACAAAGTTTATGAGTAGCCAAGAAATTATGAAGTAATTCCCCTCTTTAAGTTTGGCATGAGTCATGCTGTATTGCATTACTGGGATTTACGCCACGAAGAAGGGAGGTTTAGAGAAAAGTCAATAAGAAAAATACTGTAATGCCTGTGAAGACAGATTAGAAAAATTAGAATTAGAAGAAAGACTGTTGAATGATTTATTTCTGTCTTATTAGTCACTCTGGGTAGTAAGACAATTATCTCCTACCATGTGAACTTTTTTTTCTTAGATGTGGCAGGGTCACCTTTAAAATATAAATGCCCTAGAAGAGGATTATTTTTTTGCTATTACTATTAATTTTAATCTACTTAGCAACATAACACCCTTAACAAGGTCAAATGACAGCCAACTGAGACAAAGAAAGAGATACAGAGTTGGCATATTGGTGTATTTTGGTCTCCCGGAAATAGAAATGTTTGGGCATCTAAAAAGACCAAGGAGTGTGCTATTTGAGAGGTTGGCGGTGTCTTCCGGATTGGGAGGTCTGGAAGGTAGTCTCTGTTTTGGACCCATTAGCTGTCTGAATGAGAAGGCACAGGTTTAAAATGATGCAGAGTGGCTTCCTGAAGAAGGTCATTAACCAGCTCACGGTCTCCGTTTACTAAGACTTTTTAGCAGATGCTGAGTAGTAGAATGGGGACGGTCATCGTCTTGTGATTTCTGAGGGTCAGACCTACCCCATGTTGTTAATCTGAGTGGGTTCTAATCACTGGGGCACTCATGCGTCTTTACAGTTTCAGGCTGGCATGGCTTGCCATTTGAGAATACCTCATAGCAACAGCTGACTCCCCTACCCTATTGCCAGTGATATGCAGGGCCAGCTTGGCTTCTATGGAGAAATTGGAGGTGTTACCACATTCACACTTACTGGCAGCTTAATGTAAAGGGAACTTGCTGATCAGGATGGTGAACCATTAACAACAGCTTGCCTGGCAGCTTAACATACTCTGTTTTCTTCAATAGGTGATTAAAGCCATTGAGGAAGGCTATCGGCTCCCCCCTCCCATGGACTGCCCCATTGCACTCCACCAGCTGATGCTAGACTGCTGGCAGAAGGAGAGGAGCGACAGGCCTAAATTTGGGCAGATTGTCAACATGTTGGACAAACTAATTCGCAACCCCAGCAGCTTGAAGAGGACGGGGACCGAGAGCTCCAGGTGAGCCATGCTTACTTAACAGTAATGTATGAAAGAATGCATTAGAGATGGCAGGCCAGGGTGACTCATGTTAATTCCTGCCTTTTAGTAGGAGGGCGCTTCATGGCTCTCTGCAGCCTGGGTGGTTTCTTAGTTATTGGAGTATTTATGGAAGTTCTCTTCAGCATTTTGAAGAGCCAAATACCTGTCAGGCCCAAGGAATAGTAAGAAAAACAAATTTTTTTTTTAAAAAAAGCAACAAAATAATGAAAGTGCTTATTTCACGATGCTGGACCTGGACAGTTAGAAAGAGGGATGAATGTACTTTTGGAAGACATTCGGGTTACCGGATATTATATTTTGAAAAGGGAAGGGACACTGGGTTTGTAAAAAGTAAGGATTAGAGGACAACTCTTTATGCACTGCAATTTTAAGCTGAGTTATAAAGTATTGATTGTCACAGGAGATGCATTAGGCTTCAGTTCTTAAAGTTTCTCTTTTCTGAGTCTTTCAAGAGTAGTAGAAAACAGGACCAAGAGAGAAACTGATCAAGAAAAAAGGCAAGCAGACAAATGTTTGAGAAGTGTTTTAAAAGTAAAAGTGATTCAACCACCTCTAAAAGTTGTAGTTTTTCATGGGGAAGAGCAAAATGAAGTGCATCAGTCCAGAAAGAAAATAAAGATACTGTAAGCCCTATAGTTCAGTAGGAACTTTTCTTCAGAGAGGCTGAGCTTTCCTGGTTTAAGGTTTGGGATACCTAGGTACCAGCTCCATTGAAAAAGATGTAGAAGACCATCCTTATCAGCTAAATGATTTAAGAGGACCGGCACAATAAGACCAGGTGATTCAGGCCTGCATGAGGTGAGGCATCGACTCCTCTCCAAATCTGTGCTTCTCAAAGGCCTCACTCTCTTTCATCATGACCTTGAGTTAAAAACAGAAGGACATTTTTCCGATGCTGTGCAAACCCTTCCTGTTGGCCAGAGCTGAGATGTTCTCCTCTAGTCCTTCTCCTGAAAACTAGCCTAAAGATGGCACACAACAAGGACCATGCTTATTGTAATGCATGATAAAAGCATGTGTAGCAAACAGCACTGGTGCCTTCTGTTCTCTTTTAGTCTTTCAAATTCCCTGGCCACTATACAAAGGGCTTAGTGGTCAAGCACTTCTGCAATAACACCAGGCTGAATTCATGTTACTTCTGCCACTTGGGAGATATGTAACCTAAAATAAAAACCCTAACATTCCTGGGTTAGTTTCTGTTCTTCTGTTCACTGGGGGTGGGGGGAATAGATGGCTCTCAAGCCAGGTTTCCAAGAAGTTGGCTTTGATCCTAACTGAACCTCCAGCTTCTACACCTCCAGCTCCAGAGCCCATGTGCTGTGTTTGAGAGTCCTCAGGCCAGTTGTTCCTATAAAAAGCTCGGAGACTTCCAGAACAAGCTTGAGAATATTCTATAGTATTCATTGATATGGAGTGAGGATATTTCCATCCTAAGGTCATTCTGACTTTCTCAGATACCAAGAGTTTGCACGTTGCCTATTAATGTTCTTGGCTTAAAGTTAGAAGTAAATGCAAATGGTTGTTCCTTGTTTAATAATGAATATTTGAATTCGTGAATATTCAGCACTAATGTCTGAAATTCTATGTGGTAATATTTGCTATTGCTTCAAAACCGGGGAAAGAACTATACCTTGATTATTCTTGCCATAAAAATTGGCAGAATTTTACTTAGAAAATTGGATATAATTGAAATAATGGGCATGAAAGGACACAAAGGCAGAATATTTGGGTGCAAAACTACTTGATAAAACAAGTCTATTAAGATATTTACATAAAAGTAATGTAAATCAAAATAACAAGTAAAAATTAAAGTAAAAATGAAGTTGCATTCATTCTGCTATGCAGAAGATAAATCAAGGCATTATATTGATTTTATTTTGTTTTTACAAGAAAATAACTTTTTTAGTTGAAACTTCAGTAATGATACTATGCTTTTGATTTAATAGTTTGTCTCAAGCAACATAGTTGCAGGGTGAAAGTCATGTAAACATGTTAAAATAAACTTCATTCCATAATTTCTAGAGAGAAGAGAAATTTGTTGTTATATAGGTAATTATAGTAAAGGTAGTATAAAATACCCTGTAAAGGACAATCCTGTGATTGTAGGTATTTTCATGATGACTTATGAGTTTGTTACTAAATACTTTTCATTAATAAATAATTTATTACATATCAATATTATAAAGAATGGCAGAATTCCTACCTTGAACTGTAGTTGCTCTTAACAATGACCTAATATATAACACCTGTCCTGAGAAATGAATAAACTAATAAATAAGTTAATAACATGTGCTCATATTTTGTTGAAATGATTATTTAGGAGCCCCAGCAAAGGAATACAGGAGCACATTCCACAGTCTGAACAATGATCAAAGTGGCCATTCTTCCTTCCCGTCTTGGCACACGTGTTGGTCAGGTCAGGCATGGGTTGATTAAAGGGGATTAACTCCCTGCTGTCTCAAGTTTGTTCGAATGCACTGAGACTGCCTGCAAACCTGGCTGGAAACAAACTGGACTTGAATTCTTGCTGCTTTCTCCTTCCATCCAGCGTGGCTGGTTGAAGTGCACAGTTTCCCTTACTCATACTCCACTGGGGTTTCCATAGTTGCTGAACTAAAGTCTGTACTATTCAGCCCTGGCAGGGACTGGACTCTCTGCAATCTACTTCAGCCACAAGGGCTCCCCAAATCTTTCTCCCAGGCTAGGATGTTAAAAGACCTGCTATAATCATTAATGCACTAGGAAGTTCACATGAAACAAGTATGGGATATGAACTCAGGAATAGGCTGATGCTAACATGCTTTAGAAGATTTCGCTTGCCTGTCTCAGGCAACCTGACTTTGGAGTCTTGCTGTCTCATTGATAGCTGTCTACACTTTCTTCCTCCATTTCCAGACCTAACACTGCCTTGCTGGATCCAAGCTCCCCTGAATTCTCCGCCGTGGTATCAGTGGGTGATTGGCTCCAGGCCATTAAAATGGACCGGTATAAGGATAATTTCACGGCTGCTGGTTACACCACACTAGAAGCCGTAGTGCACGTGAACCAGGAGTAAGTACTCAGCGATGTAACACAAAAGGGTAAATCTAGATTTAATAGTATTTCCCTTTTTTTTTTTTTTGCTTTGAGCTGCATAATCATCCTACCCATTATAAAAACAAAACCCCAACTGGAATGCCTTTCATTTTGATTGAGTATAAATTGTACACAGCCTTTATAAAGCACCTACATTGTTGCCTTAAATTGCTTAATTAAACATGTTAATAAACCTGCCTTGTTGTGCTGTATGAATTGTGGCCGATTCAAACATGTGTCTGCATGAAGCTCAGAAAAGAATTTCTCTGCCCTCCTAACGTACTCTCCCTCCTGTCTCTCCCCCTCTGCATAGTGACCTGGCACGAATCGGGATCACAGCTGTCACACACCAGAATAAGATTTTGAGCAGCGTCCAGGCAATGAGAACCCAGATGCAGCAGATACACGGCAGAATGGTTCCCGTCTGAGCCAGTACTGACTAAACTCAAAACTCTTGAAATTAGTTTACCTCATCCATGCACTTTAATTGAAGAACTGCACTTTTTTTACTTCGTCTTCGCCCTCTGAAATTAAAAAAAAAAAATCTATCTGCAGTGTTGCTTGGTGTACAGACTGCTGGAAACGAGCTTACGGAAATGACCACCGTCGTTTGAATTCGACCTGGAACAAATTGTTTCTCAGAAGTACTTCCTCGGTCACCAGTTTGTAAAATACACGTACCTGTACAAATAGGACCCCACCTCTGAGTCTTGATGCCATGTTTGCTACCAGACACTGAGCTTCTCTGAGACATCTGGTCCTTTCTCCACTGGGAATTACAGCCGTGGTATTTTGTTTGTGGCATAAATTACAGTCCTCCTTCTTTCACTGGAATGAAGACCAAGCCCAGGCACACTTTTGAAGGACTCGCTTGTAGCTTTTAAGGCTTGGTTCACAGTAGGGGGAGAAACCTAGGTAACAGCCATGCGGATCATCCGTGTTGCTCTTTCGATGCTTAGGCCACTGGGTGGCTTGTGATGACATGAGGGGATGAACAGTAAAGGAAAGTGGATTTAAAAATAATAATAATAATAAAACCCGAGCACCATATACATCCCCTAACTGGACAAACAAGGTCTGTTTCTTTGGGCCCGAGGCTGTGCCATATAAAGTCTTATTTTGGGGACTACAGATTTACTGTTACTACCTTAAGGATAGCGGACTGGGACAATCTTGAATAGGGAACTTTCATACTTCCCTTCTTTAAAGAAGCAAACCCCAATCTCCAAGGTAAGGCCAAAAGAACCAGCAATGGTTCTTTCTCCAGTGAAAACATTGTGTTTTTGAAAATTAATTTTATTTGAGACACTGAGCAGTAATTTTTTTTTGACTTCTGTGAGGGAGTTTGGGATTCTTTCGGTATTTCGGTTCTCTCAACAAGGGGTAAGGAGACCCAAACCAATATGGCTTCCCTACTATTCTTCAAGAAGAAGTAAAATAAAAGCCATATTCAATCCGATTCAAGAGCATGGACTCTACTGGCTGTGCTTTCTCTTATACAGGGTTCTTCTGGCCCTTTGGTGCCCTTCACGATATAAATATTTATTGAGCATCTTCTGGGTACCAGGTAGTAACCTTGAACCTTGTTGGGTCATGCACATGTCCATTCTTCAGGGAGTTTGCTTCAATTGTGAACCCTCTCTGTTAGTCTCATTTTATGCTGTGGTCTAATAGCCCTTGTACCAAACAGGATGAGCCAGGGAGGATTTACCTAAGTGTCAGTGGTGAGACCTGGAACTCACCTGAGTTTCCTCGTTATCAGCAAGTGACCTTCTAAAAAAAAATGTGTGTTTCTTCCAGAAAGCCCTTTAACCATAAGATGCTTCTATTTTAATCCTGGAATTTTCTTCTTGAAACTTGTAAATGGCTTTGTTCATGCCTAACTTTTTTATCTAGACCAATATTAACTTTTTAAAAAACTTCCATCTTTATCACCTTTAAACAACAACTTGGCTGATTTTAATGCCCCCCCCCTTGTTTTATCTTCAAAGCTATTACAGCGAAGAATATTAAATTTGATGTTCTCAAATCATGACAGATTAGGAAAAACCTTTTGCAAAATTAGTTATAAAAGCTTTTCTGTTTAGAAGGAATGCAGAATTTGTTTTTTAAACTGCCTCAACAACTCTCATATCATCACCACTTTTGCTAAAAGTCTGGGAGTTCTGGATATTCATGATAAAAGGTGGCAAATGTAAATTGGGTATTTCTTTTTTTTTTAAAGTGTAAAATTTTTTTCTTTCAGAAACACCATGGATTATTTTATATTCAACCTTCATAGACTAATTCAAATAAGATAACACTATGGCATTATTTTATAAGTAGAGAGAGAATGTTACCTTGCATATATTGAATAATTAAATGTTTTGCTTTCTTAAATTCAACAACTTAAGGCTTGAAGTATTTTTCTAAACAGTGAACATATTCAAAACAGAACATTTTAAATGAGAGGGTTGATTCTAAATTACTCGATGTTTGTGTCATTTTGTTACTTCTCAATATGTATCTCTTTAAATGAAATAATCAGGTGGGGATTCAAAGAAAGGTAGAATATGAAACTTTTATTCAGAGGTTTGCCTTCTGAATCTTAAATTTAATGCATGCAGGAGTTACAGTACACGCCAATGGAAAAGCCAGTGAAGGCCTTTCCAAGTGTCTAAAATAAATTCTAGTAGCAGTAAGAGTGGTAACATCATGACTTCCACAAACATATTTTAGAAGAGCAATGTGAAGACAATAGAAATGTTGCATTATTTCCCAGGGCCTGGAGCCAGACTCAAGCATCTAGACAGCTATGGATTCTAAAGCCAGATGAGGTGTGGACCCTGGGAAATTCACTCCATGTTTCTTTGCACCTCAGTTCCTCCACCAGGAAATTAGAGATAATGATACTGTACTAATAACCCCTTTCCTAACATGCGGTATTGTAAGTGCGTATGAAATACTATTATGTGGGGCATCCTGAACTTTACATAAGAAAGGTGTTCTCTTCCTCCGCGGTTTCCCAAGTGTTAGTCATCCCTCTTTCACTTGTGCATCCAGATGTTTTATTGCGACAGGCCAGAGCGAGGTGAAATGAAGTTCAGTGCTAGGGAATCAAACAGATGAAGCTTCTTCCCTTTATATGGATTTATGAATGTTTGGGGGTAAATGTGCATCTGTACAAAAAGTGGTAAACCTATGAAATGACACCTGTGTTATTTAGCCTGGAAATTCATGAAGTTTGTTATTTTGTAATGGAAAGAGGGAAATACACAAGGAAGAGTCATTGCCATGAGAGCAGCTGCGTACTAATGACACTTTGATGTCTCCATGGCTGACTCAGAGGCACAGTGCTTTGTTTAGTTAGTCACAATGACAGTCCTATTCTTTGCTGATGATCCCACATATACCACATGCTCTGTCTGGTCTCTGTCCCAGCGATTCCCCATGATAAAGGAGTTGCCTGAATTCAAAGGAGAAAAGAAGGTTTATTTTTCTCCACTCTGGCTCTGGCATTAAGTAGACATAAACCTTCGTGTTCCCACACTTCTCACTTCAAACATCTAACATACACATGGTCCCCAAATATTACAAATATATTTATATAATATACATTTACATCTAAGTGTTGGGAAGAAGGGGTTGGAGAACTGAAAGAAGACAATTCCTCTTGATTTTTAAAGGAAATTAGTATTTTTATTTCTTACCTTTTGTTTTTAAGTATTTTTTATTGTTTATTCTATTACAGTTGTCCCATTTTTTTCCCTTTTGCCCCTTTCCACCCAGCCTACCTCTCTAGACCACAGTTGAATCCCCTCTTTGTTACTCATACCCACACATCCTTCATACCTGTTCTGTGACTAGTCTCTTCCCCTTCCACCATCCGCCCCCCTCCCACACCCCCTCCTACAGCTACCAGCCTCTTTCATGTTTCCATGTCTCTGGTTCTGTTTTTTTTTTTTTTTTTCATTAGCCCATTTGGGTTTGAAACTACTCTTTCTCTTCTAAGAACGGGATTTGTAGCAGCGAAAGATCACTGCCTTCAAATGCTCGCATATCCATTTGGCGTTGGCTGCACTGCATTAGAATCTTAAGGTCATGGTCATGTTCTACTTTTATTTGATATAAGTACCTGCCTGCATGATGAAATCTTTGCATGTTCAGATTTCAAAACTGCATTCGATGGACTTACTGATTTCCTGAGAAGACACAGTGAGAACGATAGATCTGATTCCTTTTCTTTCATTTTCCGTAACTGTCAAAATGACGATGTTGATAAGTGGCTTCTTAAAGATCTTGCTAGTTACACCCTCACCCCATTTATAATTTTTAATTGCTTAAAAATTTCTATCTGGTTTCTATAATTACTGTACTATTTTATCAGAAACCTTTATTTCTCTCTTTCTAAATAGACTAAAGTATTTTCTAGAAGTTTAAAATGTTCGTCTCCCTCAAAGAAAATAAAATTTATTTATGTCTCTCACACAATAAATAAACCACCTATTTATATATACACACAAGCAAATGAATAGGTGGTTTAATAAAATAAACAAAATTGTCTGTGCAAATACATTTTGGTCTTAGTCCTTGCTCCATACTGGAAGCCACCAACCACCAAGCCTGGTGACTGTGGTCACTGGGGTGGGAAATGTAGTTGAAGAAGCAGTCTCGGCGGTCAGTTGTCATGAAGGAAAGAGAGATGGCTTCTTTTGTTTTGAGTTGATGTTTTGGTGAATGAGGAGCCCCAGCGCGTTCACTACACTGTGCCAGCCTGTTCAGTTCTACGCTGATGGGCATCTGCGGCAGATTCATTCTTGGTGGGCTTCAGCCCCCAAGACCAGTTTCCCTGTGGCACCAAAACTCTAGTTGTGCCCATGGCCCTGGGTCCCCTCTCTCTCTGCCTGTCCCGAGCAGATCGTATGGATCCACCCAATACTTTATTTTCTTAGTTTCTATTTTGTCAGTTGTATTGTTGACTGTTGGTGGATTGGGATGTTTCCAAATACAGGGTAGGACAAAAGCAAGTTTATAGTTCATATGGGCAGTAATACAACAATTAATAAATAATCTGAGGATAAACTCGGTGTTTCACGTACCCACATCAGCAAACTGAATTTTGCCCCACCCTGTATGTCTCCTAGATACACAGCTTCCCGCTTTGAAACAACTGCATGTTAGTGCCCGGGCTGTTACCGCCAGACCGGTTGCCTTTCGCCAACTCTAAATCTTTCTCAGCCTACCCAGCTGAACCATAACCGGTCAGAATTTTCATTTCAGAGAGAGGCTGTTCACACAGAGCTACAGATTCAGATTGTGAGGGTTCTTGTCCCACTTTTGCCACTGGAGCATTTATGACCACAAGCAGGTAGCATAGCTTGTCTGCACTTCAGTGTCCTCGTCCGTGTAATAGGAATAACAATAATGCTTCCTCAGAGTGTGATAATTAAGCTGTGACTATACAGAATTTTTTGGTCATTGTCATTTTTCAGAGGAGGAAGTGAGAATTCATGATCTCCCTCCTGGACTACTACTTACTGAGTCATACCAACTCCTGTGTACCTGTACACTCCCTTGCAATATTGGTTGACCAGTGGCTGGCAATATTAGTTGATGCTTTGTCTAAAGCCTTGTTCTTCTCTCTCCAGGGAGTAGACTCTGCTATCTTGGCCTCACAGCCCTTCCTGTTGATTACAAAGCCCACAGAAGAAAACGGAACACACCCTGCTTACTTCCTTCTCCGTGGATTTCTTCTGCGGCTACTGTGCGAGTTCTGGAGGAAAGACACACGTGAAACAGACGCAGCACCTGCAAAGAGTAAATGCACGACTTGCAAATCTCCTTTCCAGTGAAAGAAACAGCAGACATTCAAGGTTCGGCGTCTGTTCTCCGGTGGCACTGAGGAACGTACTGTCTCATAGCACCAGCTCTGCAGAACCCCTGTTCCCAGACTCCTTGTGGTTTTATTTATATGTATTTCCATATCTCATTGCTGTATGTCACTGCTGCATTGGTGTGGCAGCAAGTGACCAAAGGCTACAGGTTTTACTATGGACACCAGGTCAGGTGCCACCATGCAAAACAAAGCCAGTTCCTATGAGCTGCCTATGATATGCATTGCTGAAGTAACATTTTACCCAGGGTGTGCCATTGCAGTGATATAAATATATTTTTTTCCTAGACTAAATATGAGCTGACTATCTGTTTTGATGTGTGTACATAGGCGTGAGTGAGTGTGTGTGCGTGTGTGTGCACGTGTGTAACCTCATGCTTAGAACTGCCTGTGAATGTTGTGGAATGCTACACCTGGAAAGTTCTGGTTTTCCACCGGTTCTGAGATGAAGAGCCACACGAGGTAGCGGGCCTGGAGACCATGCCCATCCCCTTAGACAGACAACCCGGAAATGTTAAATGTCCTGTATTTATATTGTATTTCGTAGCTGCCACACTAACCTTAATAGGTAATAATACAGCTTTGGGCAGAAGCGTTTTCACCTTAGTGGTGGAGTAATATTAGAATATAAACCCATGTCAGTGACAATCCATCATCAAAGTCACGAATTCTGACCGAACGCCTCATCTGAATCACCAGTTCCTTGATGGAGAGAGAGAGAAGGGGATGGCATTTGTTTAGTAACCCCAAATGGAGTACAAGTAGCCTTCGTTTTCCTGCATAAATGGACTTGACGAATGCGAACAGATATATGCAATTCCTATGCTTTCGGAGATGAACGTAGACATGCGTGTCAGCTTTGAGATGATGTGTCCTGGATTAATACTTTGTCTCCCACTATCACAGAACAATACATGCCAGGTTAGCATAGTTGGGATTAAATGGCTGCAAGCAATTTCAGGTGCCCAATGACATGGAAAGTTCTACAGTTGTTGATAGAGAGCTAACTCCGATGGCCCACACAAGTACATCAGCCTTCTAGAATCTGAGGTCCACTGTGTGAAGATTCTGTTTTGATATGATATGTATACCAAACTCCAGCCAACATACTGCCATGTTTCATAATCTGAGTGGCTGCCTTGCTTGTTCTAAGCTATGGTTGCAGAAACTGTGGCCATTTATATAAGCTATAACATCAAATCAGGGAAATAATGGGAAACAAAAGATTCTGAACCCTGTGTTGTTGAATCAGTGAAGAAAATCGTCAGTGAATATTTATTGCATTCCGTCAGGGTGTATGGCATTGTATTCTTATAACTATGCCAGAGTGACAAAGTTAATTCACCCCTTTGGGGGGACTTTAATATATTTTTAAAGGGATGTGCCTATGCATTGATGCCTGAAAAATATGTATAAAGAAATGAGGTTGAATCTCTGAGCAGGTCACCTTTCCTCTAGAGGTAAGGGCAGGAGGCCAGCTTTAGGGGCTGGGTCTAGCCCCAGGAGTGAGTACTGGCCCTAGTGAGCTCAGATCTACCGTTAGGAAGCATTAAGCTGACCCCCTGCACCAAATCCAGTAGCTTCACCATGTGTCCACTGGCCCCAAATTATTTTTAACAATATTATGAATAAAATGTTCTGGTGTGTTTTAAAAAGTTACTTTGAAGAAAGGCTGTGCTCACTACACGGCTGGTGTGTGTGTTTTGAGACCTCTTGTATTCAATCTGTGAAGGATATGTGTATTAATCCATACAAGCTTATAGCCTCAATATTTGTCTGAAGACACTTAAATTCTGACCAGTCAAGGAAAGTTCTAGAAGCAATATTTTCACTTATTTAACATTCTCCAAACAACATCAAGCATTGATACACACTGAAAAGTGTATTTTTTTTATCACTCCAAGTATGTTGGAATATGCAAGGACTGTGGTTAAAATTAGAATGTATAAGGCATATTATAATTTAGTTCATCTGAAAAAGGAATTAACTGAACATAGAGTCATTCATACATGTTCCAAAATTTGAGCAATCTCTTGAGTTAGACATAGATTTTCTATTTTGTTTTAATTTGTCAAGATATTTTTCTTCCCTTCATAAAACTTAGGTACACATAACTTATGTCATTTATTTATGGTCTTTTATACCTAGTTTGTAAAATTGTAAAATAGCAAACTAAATGCAAAGGGTTTGCATTTGAAAACAATAAAGTAGTTGCCATATTCAAACCTGGAATCTAGTTGTCTCTTCAATGATTTCTACCACAGATATGATGGTTCTAAGCTAAGTAGTTGTCGGTTGTCATTTGGCGGAAACACAAAATCTTAATTGCATTCAGCATACTTATTTAGAGGATAGATAGTACTGACTCTTAAATGGGCCTCCCCCTTGACAGCAACGCATTAGCAAATCTGACTTAGATTCTGTGAGATTTCCTGTTCCCTTTCAATGAGACTGAACTTTGGCTGGAATTCAGACTCCACCTCTTACCCATCATTCAGTCTGGGGCAAGTTTCTTAACTTACCTGTATCCTTTTCCTTGTCTGCGGACTGGCAATTACAATGCCAAGAGCTTTTATGAAGACAAACACCATATAATCTCACTCGTAACTGGATCTAATGAACAAAATTAACTAATGAACAAAATGGAATCAGAGCCCCAGAAACATGGAACAGGCTGACAGCTGTAAGAGAGGAGGGGAGGTGGGAACTGGTTGAAAGAAGGTAAAGGTGTTAGATAAAGAACATATATGAGTGACCCATGGACATGAACAATGGTGTGGGGATTGACTGGGAGTGGGGAGTAGACTGGGAAGAAGAGGCAAAGGGAGAAAAATTGGGGCAATGGTAATAGCATAAAACAATAAAAAAGACTTAAAATATTAATTAGCACAGTGTCTAACCAAAAATCAATGAATGGTAGCTATTTTCAAGAGCCTTTTTGATGATATAAGCTGTCTTTTCTAATATTCCAAGTTCTACATCCTCTCAAACACCTTTGCTATTGATCCAAATGGCCGGCTACCCCTTTTACTGTGAGTTTTCACTCTGGATCTTTAGATCCTTGGCTCCTTGAGGGTACATTGGAACTCCAAAATTTGGTACAAATGCTAATGATTATGTTTTGTGTTTTGATGGGCAGAAAGACCAGATCAGAAATGTCATTAAGCTCCAAATTAGTCTGCAATACAAAAATAGTAAGGATGCATGTTCTCATCATGAATGCTTTCCTTATTAAATAAACTACCAGTTGAATATACCCCTTTTTAATTGAAAATGAGGCTCAAGACTTATAATAATGTAATAACCGAAGTCCTTAAGAGCAACTAGCTTCAAAGGGTGCGGTTGTGCTGTTCAGTGTTACCAACAGGGCCTTGAAATGAAAAGAAGCTGGATATGTCTGGTTATTTCTTCAATATTTCTCTAAAATCAACTGTTTTAATATATAGGGTGGTTGACAACATATTTGTGATTTCAAAAAGACCAGGCTTGGGCATGTTTTTCCTCACTTGTTTAGCAAGGAAATAAAGTCAACCGTATTAGGATTCTCCAGAGAAATAAAACCAGTAGGAAATATATTTATAACTCTCTGTATATGAATAGATAGATAGATAGATGATAGATAGATAGATAGATGATAGATAGATAGATAGATGATAGGTAGATAGATCTATCTGGTGAGAGAGAGAGACTTTTTATGAGGAATTGGCTTATGCAATTCTGTAGACTGTGAAGTAGCATGATCTGCAAGGTGGAGACCTAAGAAAGCCAGTGGTGTAATTCAGTCCAAGTCCAAAGACCTGAGAAACTAACTGAGCCAATAGCATAGTTGCAGTCCCAGTGCAGGAGAAGATGAGATGTCTCAGCTCAGCAGTAATGCAGGGAATAAGCCTGGGGATGCACTCTACTTCAACAGAAAGCTTTCCCTGACCTCTTTTAGGTGTACGGTTCTCCTTGTATTTGTGGTAGAGATAGACTAGCTGTTCAACAGCTTTAGTTCTTCTTATTGTGCACACAAGACTATATTTCCAAGCCCCCAAACCTTTAGGATAGGCACATGTGATCAGGTTCTGGCCAATGAGATAAAGGAAGTGAAATGCAAGCCCTCCAAACCCAGCCATAAAGCCTATGCAATCATCCAATTTCTCTTCCTCTTACGTGGTAGACTTAGACACCATATGCTCAACATGGAAGCCTCACAGGAGTGAAGGACCGTACATCCCGGAGTCACTGCTTGGAAAGATGACAGAAGATACTCTGGACTTTTATCAGGCTGTGATATGATCTAGAAATAAACTTTTATCATCTAAGAATCTGGAGTCCTTCATTACAGAAGCTAAAAATGATGGAATTCCTCCTTCTCCTCCTTATTGCTCTATTCAGGCCCTCAACACACTGGATGATGCCCACCACAGTGGGGAAGGCCATCCAATCTACCAAGTCCACTGTTCCAGTTTGATGGTGATGGTACATGCCATGGTTAGCAGATATATGTGCCAGTGCTTTCTTCCCTACACACCACCTGCATATTTTGTTGCCAGGTAGCTTACTTTTGACCAATGTGTCTGGTTGATTATTTATGTTAAGCCCTAGTGATATAAAATATAACTTAAGTACAATATTCATCTTACTGTGTTTTGTGAGAATTAATTTCCAAAATCTACTTTTCCCTAAAAGCAGAGTATAATCCATTATTTCTAAGATATCACCATCTGATATACAGTGAATGAAGAAGAAGTGATTTTCTTTAATTATCATTTTTGTGTTCTAAGCATAAAAGTCATGGACAGCACTTCTCAAGTGCCATTCCTCATTTTGAAGACAGCCTGTGACAAAGACAGTCTAGTCATTAATTAAATAGAAAGAAAGGGTGGGTCCAAAAGCAAGAGGAAAATGAACTGAAGTAGAGGTTGAATATGACATAAAAGTGCAGACTTTCTGTGGACCCTGCCTCAGCTATTCATTAGCTGCGGACGCTAGGCAAAGCACTTCACCCCTCTGAAACTCAGTTTACTAATCTTTAAAATGATAATAAGGACTCCCTACTTTGCCAGGGTCCTCTGCGAATCCAGTGAAATCAAGTCTAAGGAAAGCATGTAAACACAGATATTTACATGGGCCAGTAAGGCCATGTGAATGAGGGATACTGTCAAATGCAGCACAAGAGAGTAGGTATTTAGATAAAACATTATGTTGACAAGATGTTAATGAGTATTAGTCAGTGGATGTTAGGTTGTGGCCAGGAGGGTTCTATGGACAGATTGGAAAACAGTGATGCATTTCACTACACACTTTTGGAGATCCACACATCACACTGGTACCCTCTGAGTAGGTACCTCTGAGAAGGCCTGTAGCAGAGACACAAATTTCACCAGTTTAATCTAGCATTTTCCAAATATGTTAGAAGATAGGATCCTTTTAACGCGTCCATGGAATGAAAGCTCTCTGAAACATGTTGGGGGTTTCAAAGGAGAAAAGTGAAGGAGACAGAGGCAAAGAGACGCATCCTGTGTCGCACAACTTCTAGCTCAAGTTCCTGACTCGCAGCCACAATGCACCTACCTCAACACCCCAAAGCAGGTTCCAAACATTGCAGGTACTTGTTCAGTGTTGTTTTGTCATAATGTTGATGAGAAAAAATTGATTCTGGGCTGTGTGGAGTTTGTACAATCTCCCCAGGTCTTCTCTGAGGACTCTGGTTTCCTCCTGCATTTCAAAGATGTGCATGTGAGGTACATGTTGTGTCTCAGTTGTTCCTGTCTCAGAGAGAGAGAGAGAGAGAGAGAGAGAGAGCGAGCATGTGTGTGTGAGTATCCCTGAAATGGAAGGGTGTCCCATTCAGTGTGGGGTCCCATCTTTAGCCCTTAGCTGTCGGGAAAAACTCTGGCCACCCTAGATCCTGAACTGGAATAAGCAGGTTGGAAGCTCGTTATTTCACTTGTTTTTACTCCTCTTCCTTAAATGTATGTATAATTCACATTTATTTTCATGTTTAACATTAAAAGTCTTTGGGGTCTTTATTTAGAATTTTAGTGATGTTTTTGTGACCAGAAATAGACCTTAGGAATTGAACTCTGGCTTATGTCAATTAGCCTATGACGACATTGGTTTTGTTATATGTCACTTCGTGTAAAGCCAGAGTTTTCAGGAATCTATTGATGATGCTAAGTGAGTACTTACTGTGCTTTTCTAAGTTTGCAGCTGCTTGGAGATTTGCATTTTCTCCATGTTGGTCTAGTGACTTTAGTACTGGTTAAGGATCAAACATGTGAGGTGGGGAGAATGGGTTGAAGAGACTACACTACTAGAGAGTATGAATATCAAGTCCTGATATCAGAGCCCTGACAGGAGGTTTAAATCATGAACTGAACCATGTGAGCCAAAGTCATGACCTGGGCTAAGATGTCTGAATTCTTCCACTCACAGTAAAGAGCCAAATGGATTTTGACAATAAAAAAAAAAGGCACAGCAAAGTTCCATCAACAACCTAATTAAGACTTGTAGCAATATTGTGGGCTTTGGCCTCAGTTATTTTACCCTTTCCCTTTGGAGGAAGTGCCTTCAGCCATCGACTGCTTGCAGTTGAATGGGTAATAGACCCCTGACATATCTTGTTTCTGGCAATCTCCTTGGACATAATTCTTTGTTTACAACACTGCTGTAGAAAACCTGATGAATACTTAGGAGAAACCAGAATTAGGACCTAAGGACCCAGTTAAAATCAACTTAGGAGAACATAGACACGGCTTTGTGTAGAGCTGGAAAACACAGCCATGAGAGAAAGTGGCTTTAACATACACCCAGAGAAACCATATATTATACACATAATATGTAAGAGGCGATTATGGCCTAGTAATCTGCAGTGTATCACTACCTAGCAATCAGATTGACGTATTCTAATGAGACCCATGTTGTTTGTAATCAGACTGGCATTGCTTATTCAGATGTCTATTCCATAAGATGCACTTTTAAATGGCTTAGATTGCACCAGATGCTGTAAGAAATAGCATTCCATTTTATTCCATTACCAGCATTTTTCCCTCTTCCAATTAGCATAATTTAAAATCAGCCAGAGGCAAATGTGAAGGGCTGAAAAGTTGCAAAAAGTTCAAGAAATACTTGATAGAAAAAAGCAAGAAGACACACATGTACAACAATTTTTTTTATGTAGGCAAGAGAAAATTACAATTAATAGAGTTTTATCCTCTTAATT